TCCCCCTCTCCCGTCCTCTCTCCCTTCCTGCTTCCCTCGCCTCCCTCCCGCTTACCCCCTTCTCGTCGTGGGGGGCGGTCCCATTGCTTGCCCCGCGGGCTGGCGCCCCCCCGCGGGGGTGGCGCTCGAGGCTGCGGCCTCCGCAGGCAAGCGGTGTGGAGAGGGCCTTGTTCCGCATCGGGGCGTGCCCACTTGCGATCGCCCAGCGTGGGCGTGAACCCCCTCCCTCACTCGCCCCTCTTTCCTCCTCATCCTCTCCCGGGGTCTGGGCACGGAGTGCGCCAGGGTGGCCGCTCCTGTGGAAAGAATCGGCGCTTGCGCCCCCGTCTTGTCGGCCCCTGAACTGAATTGGCTCACCGCCTCCAGCCGTTTGGCGGGCTCGTGCCTGTCTTACGGCAGTCCTTCTACTGCCTTCGTCCGTCATCTCTCTCAGTTGCCACCGGTGTGCAGCTCTGTATTTTGCCAGTTCCTGTCCATGGGGGGCCGTCCTGTAGTTTCGCCAGTGGTTTCGGACAGAGTCCACTGGGTGTTGTGCTGTGGTTGCGATTCGCCAGACCACTGTGGTCTGGACTCCAGAGTCTCCGACCTCTGCTACGGCAACAGATATGATCAAGAACATCATCATCGAAGACACCTGGGCCAGCTTTCCTGAAGCTTATTGAGCCAAACCTGGGCCAAGTGTTCGTCTTAACGCTGGAATGGCGAACGTGCTCAAGAAACTGGGCGGGCTCTCCGGCGAGTTGGTCGAGAAACGCTGGCCCAGCTTTTCGGGAGGTGTTTCTCAATCAGATGCTCGACTGTAGTGAGGTGAACGTGCACTCTCGACCAGGCGCGCCGGGCTCATTTCACCGCCCGCTCGTGGCACTCCCCCATCACGCCCATGGCGCTTGTATGGCCGCCGCTCGTCCCCTCCTGCGCTCCTCCTCCTCCTCCTCCTCCTCCCTTCCTCCTCCTTCGTCTCCTCTCGTTCCTCTCTCATTCCTCCTCCTCCTTCCTCTCCTCCGCCGCTCCTCCCCTCTCGTCCCTCCTACACGGGAATTGCCAGGGCAACAAGCTGTCAAGGGTAGCGGTTTGCCCAGGCCGTTGGCATGACCGTGACCTCCGCTGTCTCGTAGCTCTCTGACCCGGGGGGGCAGACAGTTTCCGCCTGGCCGGTCGTGCTCCAGCCGCAACCTGTCGTCGATCGGAGCGGCGCTGAAAAACAGTGCGCTCTCTCACCCACCCGCGCTCCCACACTCGATCCTGCAATGCCCGTGTGCAGAATCGCGTCACATCGCTCACCCTCCGGATCTTCGCCTCCGGCTCCTGTCCGCGGCCCTCTCCGGCCGCCTGAGGCCTCGCCCGCCTGTGCCCTGTCTCCCTAATTAGAGCTGTGCGTAGCCCGCCTAGCTTTTAGCGGAAGAGGTTCGCTCTCGCCCCACCGTCCACAAAAAAAGCGTGTACAGAGTCGCGCGGTGAGGTGCGCCCACATCGCGTCACCCGGAGTTGTTACCTGACCACCCTCCACGCCACAGCGGGCAACACATCCCTCAAGGGGCCCAAGGACACACACAAATAAATACACACACATGAAAGGATTCCCCATATTTTTCCATATGTTCTGGCTTTTTGTCTTCCCGCCCAATTCCCATATTTTCCCATCTTTTCCTGGGAGCCGACGATTCATTGTGTCTGTGTGTTTTTGTTCCCTCCCGACACATCACGTCACCTGGAATTGCCTGACCACCCTCCACGCCACGGCGGGCAAAACACATCACGGCAGAATGCGCGCACGCCTGCCCGGCGGTGTCGCGGGCGCTGGTTCGGGCTCGCAGGATGCGACGCGCGTCTCTGGCAACGGCCGGTGCCACCGGGGCTTGGAAGGGGCCGGTCCTCAACGGATGGGGCCTTAGAGCAGCCTGCGATCGTGTGTGTGTGTGTGTCTGCCGGTGTTGGGTGGCCGCACAAAGGACCGCGCCCCACCCACGTACCGCTCCCTCGGCCACCGCCGCCGGCATTGCTTTTATGTGGCGAGCGGCTGACTCGCGTTGGTGCGCGGATACAGTGTTCTCGTTGAAAGCGGGGGAACGAACGAACACGCACAGACACACACAGACACACACGGACAAATGCGGACACACACGGACGCACACAGACACACACACAGACACACACACAAACAAACAGATACAGACAAACAAAAACACAAACACAAACACATGCAGACACACACAAACACACACTCAGACACAAACAGACACACACACATCACACAACGACACACAGAGACACATAGAGACAGACAGAGTCACACAGACACACATACAGACACACACAGACACACACAGACACACACAGAGACACACACACACAGACACACACACACACAGACACCCACGCACACAGACATAGACAGACACACACACACAGCCACGCACACACAGACACACACACAGACACACACACACAGGCACACGCAGACACACACACACACAAGCTGACACACACACAGACACACACA